CAGGACCCCCTTCATCTTCCTCCCCAGGACCCCCCCACTCCCAGGACCTCCCCCTACCCTCTCGCTGAGCGCGTTGTACTTGATGGCCAGCTCATCGCGCTCGGCTCGGCTCTGGGCCAGCAGGTCCTCCACGCGGGACAGTTCCTGCTGCAGGAGCCGGTTCTCCTCCTGCACGGACAGAAGGGACGACATCTCTCGCTCGGCCCGGGGAAGAGGCGGCGGCGGCGGCTGCAGAGGGAGAAGCGCGCGGCCCACCCAAGTCAGCCCGGGCTGCAAGACAGACCAACACCGCCCCCCACTCAGTCGGGACTACAACTCCCAGCACCCCTTGCGCAAGGGGGCTCCGTCCGGAGGGTCGCCGCTTTCTTCCCTCCCGGAGAAGTCGAGTAGGGGCCGCGGGCCGCCACAGAGGCCCTTTCCCGTCGACGCCGCGCTGCAACCCCGTCCTCTCTTACCCGGGACTCAGAGCCGGAGGACGCCGGCGAGGAAAGGGCACGAGGCCCGCCGCCTGAAGGGCCTTTTCCCCTCCCTCCCCCTCGCCTCACAGCGCCGGTTGCTATGGAGACAGCCAAGGAAGCGGCGCGCCTGCACGTCACACCACACCCCCCGCCACTAGCCGTCTGGCTACGGAGGCCGCCCAAGGCCATTCCGGCTCACCCGCGACGGTCAATTCAAAAGAACTGCGAGGCTGGCTGGCGAGTAAAGTTTTTTTTTATTATTCGAGACACACGGAGTGCAAGAGAGAAAAGACTCCAACGGGAGTCCCGCGGAGAGAAAACGATGCGGTCAAGCCCCTCGGGGCGGAGTCCCTTCCAAAAGGCAGCCACCTTCAAGGCGTCCCAAAGGCCACTTCCCAACACTTTGGGTGCTGATCCTAACTAAGCCAACATTGTTGGGTTATCCTCCGTCCTGGAGGAGTGGGCACAACCATTCACCCCCACCCCTCCCAAAGTATATTGCTCCTCTTGGAAAGAGGCAGAAGAGCAGGCGAAATGATCTCAGCTTACACACACAACCACTACATACACACATATATACACACACACACCAGGTGATGGCGGAGGAAGAGAGAGCAAGGTGATGTTTGCAGGGTTTTTTGCCCTCCCTCTGCCTCGCCACGAGATCCGAAGCCAAAGTCAAACCCATCCAAGGCAGAGGATCTGTTTGCAAGAGCCAGCGGGGGGCGGCCCATCATCTCCCCGGTCGTCAAGGCTACGAAAGGGGGGGGGTCCCTCCTCCTTGATCTTTGGGCCTTCTCCCCTCGGCTTCAGAACTGGACCCAACCGGAGTTCTGCTGAGGCTGAGAGCCGGACCTACGAGGAGACAAAAACACCCAGGCTTCCTTAGAAAGCATGAAGCAGAGTCTGCAAAACCTTGTTTGTTTACCCGACTGTGAATTCCTTTCATTCACAGTCAGCAAGGCTTGGGAAACAGTCTTTCAGAGGAATGTTTACCAACACGAACCTTATCTCGTTTGGCGAGCTGCCAGATAACTAGTTTCCAAATGCAGGGCAAGGCAAAATGTGGCAGAGTCTCTTAGTCACAAACAGAACCTTCCTCTCTTGAAATGACTGAAGGAACAAATTGTTTCCTGCAAAAGCCCCCTCCCCCTTTCGCTCTTTTGTTTCCTACGGGAGGGGCCAATCACCTCCAAGATGTGGCTTTACTCCCAAGTCGACGCTGTTTTCTCAGTTGTTCTTGTCTTCTGGCAGTTCTGCGCATGCACACACTGGGAATGGACTCCAGCTATTCCTCTGCCTCACTGCTGTCTAGCTCCCTCTCTGCTGCCGATGAAGAGCCCTCGTTCGAGCTTTCCTCAGCCCCCAGGACTGGCCCATGTTCCTCCCCAACCTCCTGCCGGACTCTGTTGGCGGGCCACAACATTGGCCCTGGGGGGGAAGACGCTGTGAGAAATGGCCCCAGCTGGGACAAGTGGGGAAGTCCCTATTTTTCTACTTGCATTTTTTATGTACTTTCAAACTGTTAGGTTGGCAGAAGCTGGGATAAGTAACGGGAACTCACTCCGTTACGTGGTGCTAGGGATTCGAACCACCAAACTGCTGACCTTTCTGATCGACAACCTCA